ACCCGTACCGGTACCGAAAACGTAAAAACTAACCTCGTACTAAAACTTAAGTAGTTACTACTTTACTAAATAAAAACAAGTGACTCTACTATATATATATATATATATATATATATATATATACATAGGTACATTTATTTAAAGCGTTAAGGTTTATAGCAAAGATAACTCTGAAGATCTTGTAAATAGGTGTTAATCTATAACCTAACCATTAAGCCTTACACGTTGAAAATGTTTACTTGGTGCTTCTTTTCTGTTGAAGCTACGTTTATGATAAACTTACTTTATCAAGATATTTCCGGATTTTGCGCCATGGTGTCAGATATTTTCCAATCATAATCAAATATATATCTTAAAAAGAAGATAAATTAAAAGCGACATATACTTGGAGAAAAGTGTTAGGACATAACGACACGTTCAGAATGAAGCAGGATTATCTAGAAATAATGTTTTTATATATTAAAACAAGATTCACTTGTTTAATCAATAAGAAAAGCCACAACCTTTCCCGCTATTGAGAAATTCGTTCAACCATGTATGTAACATCTATCGATTTATTACACCATTGAAGCCTGGCCCACATTCTTCTATTTCTATGCTTTGAATTTTGTTTCCTGCTTCGTCCCATCACTTCAAATATCAATAGGCTCCGTTTCCACCCCTCTTACAAATTTTAATCTCAGTCAAGCAAATAGCTCTTGAACTTACCCAAAAAGATAATGTAGAAAGGGAAGATTAATAAAAGAGCAAAATTTGTCCTCTCAATACGAGTACTCTTGATAACAGTGAAATTTAAAGTTTGTGTTAATGATATGCAGGCTGCTTATCACATTTAAAAGCCAACCGTACACTTAATAATTGGCCTAATTATTACACAATACAAAGTTACCGTCTCCTAGCTTTAAATAGATGCCTCACAAATCTCAGGAGTCTATTTTCAACGAATTTCACCAAAACAGTTTAAACAACCGTAACGAACGGCACATTTGGAACAAGATAATTATCAGCATCAAGCAGTTCCTGGTTCGGTTGAGGTTCTGAGGAGGCTTCAGGTTGATGATTCGGGCATTTATCTACCAGACGTTGAAATATTTCTTCGAAGCTCAAGCGATCTCGTGGTTCTGTTTTCCAACAACCGGCCATGATGCTGTAAATGAATGAAGGACAGTCTTCTGGTGGACTCAACAAGATTCCCTGGAGGATGAGCTTCACCACCTATAAGTGAAAATTGTGAACTTGGCTTCACTGTCTCACTCTTAACGATCATAGAATAGCATCACAAAAAAAGGAATCGACTACACTATAGTACAAATATACGCTGTATAGAGGTTTCCAGCGTTTTCTACATTGACAGTAACTTTATAGCCTCGTAAATGGTTTTATCTTTTAATGCAACATTACTGGGCAAATCATATTAATATTAAATATAAAATTAAAAATAGTTAGTTAGACAGTAAATAGTAAAATGCAGTTTAACACTTTTATACAAATTAGTCATTAATATATTTTAAATGCTTTAAAACTTAACAATGCACAATATGTAATCACTACGTAAGTATTAGTCACTAGTAATATTATTATATAGCATAACATGGGTCTTGATTTAAAATCCAGAAATGTTTATTACATTACTTATTAAGAAATCGCTACGAGCTCAGAAGTAAACGGAAAAATTCTCATCTTATCTTGCTTAACAATCTACTTGAACATACGAAATGCACCTCCTACTTTTAGCCTTAAGCTAGCTTCTACTAGACTTACACTAACACACACTTTATCCCTACCTGACACATATATTTAGAATAATTTATTTATTTGCATAAACACATTAAAAATTATGTGAGCTTCTAGATGACTGCTTCAAGCTTATAATTGCAGAAACGTAGACATTTCACGGTTAGTCTACAAAACGATATGTAAGATTAAGGATATTTTACTTTCAGAAGGGCATAGTAAACAGGAGCACATTTTAGCAGGATCATTGGTATTTTTTCTTTTTTTTTTGCTGGTCTATAAAAATGAAAATTGAAAAGGGATAGCTCTGAAATTAGAAAAGCTGTGACCATAATCCGTTAGTTATTGACCTGGATTACACTAATGTCAAACGTGATATAGAAAGGTTTTCATGTCTATAATTTATATAATTCGCCTGAGAGCACGTGGACATATGACCTCCATATTCTGAGCAATGTGGCATACAGATGCCACATTTTTCATTCTTCTATAATACAAATATCATACTTACAAAACTGTTCTGAAGTTATAATTTGGAACATTATAAATCCGATCGAGATTATGTGCTAATTAAACACTAGATGTTACTTTCTGTAGATTATTTAGTCAAGGAAAATGAGATAGAACAATATAAAGCAATCTGTTGTGTAAACTGATAATATTTTCTTGTACTCGAACAACAGCTAAATATTATTGTGAGAAATTACTTCAGAACATGCTCTGGTTGTTTCATTATTAGCAAGGAAACTATTGTATGTGCCAAAAGTGGTTTCAAATCCACATTCTCTCATTAGCTAGCCAATCACACAATGCAATGTAGGATACGATAAAACTATCCCATTAAACATTGGATTGTTGATGGCCACTAAATAATCAGTCTTACAGTTGACGATTTCCTATTTTCTGGTATTAGAGGTGTTTTTTGTTTTTTTTCACCTTTAATGCAATGTATTGTCCTTTTCATTTCGTCTGTACTAAATCACCACTCTTGTCCTTCCTCTCTTGCTGTGAAGCTCAGGTAACTGTGTACCATAAGAAGGTAATGTTATCATTGTATACTTTTATTTCGAAAGATGGAAGTTTCTAGCAATAACTCGTGTAAATGGTTTTCATTTGCAGAAGATACTCTTTCGGCAAGTTGGAAGAAGGATATCAATGGTTAAATTTAAAGGTTTATTTGAAGTTTGACTTTCCTAATTCTGCTTGACCTATGACGCTAGGTATGATGTTATATGACGGAATGCAGAGAAACAAACGTATATGGCTGATACTTTTCACATGGGGTTATCCAATGAAATCTGACCTTAATTATCTTTTGAATCCACATATCCAAGATAACAATGACATACAAATACACATAAGTAACGTCACAGTTTTCCAGGTTTTAAATGTAAAGCAACTAAAAGGTCTGTAGATATTAACTAAACAAAGTAGCAGTTGCTTTTTTTATGTTTAAACGGCACTAACTTATAATCTCTAACATTACACCAATTCCGGATTCAGGTTTATGAAACTGGCTAAAAGTTTGAAATAAAAATTCATAAGTTATTTTAGATAGCTAATAATGAAAAACTCGTTAAAACAAAATGATTAACTCAGAACTACTTTTTACTCCGCTTACGTGAATGTTGTATGTCCAGGTGTTTTTTAAATAAATAATTAATTAGTAGTTAAGGGTTTGTGTGGAATTTTACCAGTTTTGTGATTAATAGAAAATAAGATCCCTTTTCATGGTTAAGTTTAAATTATAATGGAAATGAAAACTGTTAATTGTACAGGTGCAGTTATTTTTATCCTTATATATTTTTTGTACGTATCGATTGTAACCAGTTTTTCCCTTTGAATTCTCGTTTCAGGCATAATCTTAATGAACCATGATAAAATAGGAATAATATGTAAGTTTATTGTAGCTAATATTTAATTAACCTTTCAATCTGGGTTCGAAAGGTAAGAAAGAAGACATATAGAAATATGCTTTTATATCGTTACTCTAAAAACATAAATATTTTGCAAACAGTCTTAGGAGTTTACCTCCTAACCTACAGATGACGCTGCAACTCGAAGACAGCGAAAGACGCAACTCTGCAACTAGAATAGCTACATTTAATCGAAAGACGACGTAGAACTAAAATCTTACTTCTTACTTTTTTTTAGTTGTGTCGTTAGTCCTTGTATCACAGTGAAGCCAACAGTTCAATGATACAATAAAAATGGCAACTAGATAGGCTATTTTTAGCCGCGGCATACGGGCTCATAGGATGGTTCCTAGTTTTATCTCATAGCTCCGTCATCTCTTGACCGATTTGAGATATAATTACAGTTTCGGACTCAGGGGGTCCAGTGGCACAGTGGTGTGTCTGCGGACTTACAACGCTAGAAGCCGGTTTTCGATACCCGTGGTGGGCAGAGCACAGATAGCCCATTGTGTAGCTTTGTGCTTAATTTCAAAGCCTTTTCGATTGATGTATTTGACAAAGCTCAATGTCTCATAGATTAATTTACTTTAATCCTGCCTAAAAGAATTTCAGTCTGAGGGTAGGCTGGTAGAGAGTAATGAAATCGAATCGGGTATACGTGTACCCTACGCTTGATATCGCTGGCGCGCAAAAAAATATACGTAATAAATAGGAAAAAAGGCTCATAGATTAATTTACTCTAATTCTGCCTAAAAAAAATTAAAGTGCCGCGGCTATTAAGGATTCCCTCTTGTTTTAATCACACACACACATTTATATATATATATCTGTATTAATCTGTCACACACACATATATGATGCACTGTTTACAGACTCAAAATCATTTTTCTAAGAAGGTCGAACTTCGTCACTGAACATTCAGTCGTGGGGGTTTTAGAATGTGATGGTCAATCGTAATATTCGTTTGTAAATAGTAGCTCAAAAGTTGGCGGTGAATGGTGTTGACTGCCTGCCTTCCCTCTAGTCTATCACTTGAAAATTAAAGATGGCTAACGCAGGTAGCCCTCAAGTGACATTGCGCGAAATTCAACAAACAAACAAACAAACTCTACCAAAAATATATAAAGTAATAATTCTGTTTATTCTGTTCGATGTATCAACCTACCTCTTCATTAGAGTGGCCGTAGTAAGGTTGTTTGCCGTAGGTAAATATCTCCCACAACACAACACCGTAAGACCACACGTCAGACTCCAGTGTAAACTTGCCGTGCATGATGCTTTCGGGTGCCATCCACCGAACTGGCAGCATCCGGGACCCACCAATCTAAGAAGCACAAAAGAACATTCATCATATATGTTCATACATTTATGTTATTGTATGTTCATTATATGTTCACATACTTATGTTATTGTACGTTCAGTATATGTTCATACATTTATGTTATTGTATCTTCATTATATGTTCACATACTTATGTTATTGTACGTTCAGTATATGTTCATACATCTATGCTATTGTATGTTCATTATATGTTCACATACTTATGTTATTGTACGTTCATTATATGTTCACATACTTATGTTATTGTACGTTCATTATATGTTCATACATTTATGTTAGTGTACGTTCATTATATGTTCACATACTTATGTTATTGTACGTTCATTATATGCTTACATAGTTATGTTATTGTACGTTCATTATATGTTCACATACTTATGTTATTGTACGTTCATTATATGGTTACATAGTTATGTTATTGTACGTTCATTATATGTTCACATGGTTATGTTGTTGTACAACAATAATATGTTTCCCTTTTATTCTATTGTATAACCATCATATGTTTATATGGTTATGTTATTTTATGAAAATAATATGCTGAATCTTATGTTGTTGTGCGTTTATCATATGTTAATATATTTCATATTTATCATATGTTTAAATTTTATGTTGTCGTATAACTATCACATGCTCACGTGCGTATGTTGTTGTACAACCATAATATGCTATAACATGGTTATATTTTTGTACAACTATTATATGTTCACATGTTATGCTATTATGCAACCATCATATGCTACCTTCTTTATACTGTTATACAACTATTATATGTCCACATTTTTATGCTTTTGTACAACCATCGTATATTCACATGTTCATGTTGGTGTACCACCATCATATGTTCAGGTGTTTATGTTGTACATCCATCAAATGCTCATATATTTATCAGAGTTATTGTAATTCTTTCAAATATTGAGAGATTCATGCTATTCCATTTCTACAATATGTTCAAATGTTTGTGTTGCTGTACGACAATAATGTATTCAATCTTATGTTACTTGCGTCTATCATTTGTTAATATGTTTTAAATCTTTCACGCTCACATTTTATGCTATTGTGCAACCATCAAATGTTCACGTCTTTATGTTATTGTACAATCATAATATGTTTAAATTTTAATGCTATTGTACAACTATATGTTTACATTTTAATGCTACTGTACAACTATATGTTTACATTTTAATGCTATTGTACAACTGTATGTTCACATTTTAATGCTATTGTACAACTGTATGTTCACATTTTAATACTATTGTACAACTATATGTTCACATTTTAATGCTATTGTACAACTATATGTTCACATTTTAATGCTTCTGTGCAACTGTCATATATTAATGTGCTTATATTGTTGCACAATCATCATATGATCACATTTTAATGCTATTGTGCAACCATCATATGTTCATGTGTTTATGCTATACAACCATCAGATGGCCATATGTTTATCAGAATTATTGTAATTCTTTCAAATTTTGATATGATATTGTATATCCAAAGTATGTGATCGTATGTTTATGTTGTCATTCGTCTATCATACGTGTTCATGTGTTTATGTTTTTATGACCCTCACACGTGTTCAAATTTTTATGTTGCTGTGTGTCCATTATATTATTGTACGACCATCGTATGCAAGTATATTTTTATGTTGTTGAACGACAATTATATATTCTTACGACTTTTTACTATAATTGATCTTTTCAATTTTTAGAGCATACAATCTCATCAGTTAACTAGAGTGCCACGCAATGTTGATCATACTAGGTTTAAAAAAAACAAACGGAAATGTGTCCGTATGTCCGTCGTTTTCAACGAACTATCTTTGGCAGGACAATGAGGAATATTATCCTACATATGTCCACCACGTTTCATCAAAATCCGATCATTTTGACCGAGTTATAGAACAAAAATAGTGTGAAAAATCGGTCCCCATGTTAACAGATAGGTTTTTTGTTTTTTTTCATCACCTTGCTGTGATTTTGACCTTCCAAAAATTAATATCTTCTAAGTTGGATCATAATCCAAATATATATCAAATTTCGTCCAAATCCATTCAGCCGTTTTTGAGAAATATTGCTGACAAACAAACAAACACACACACACACACACGAATACACACAAATAACAACACACACAGGGGTGAAAACATAACTTCCGTCCACCTTCGATGACGAGGATATTATTGGTCAGTTCTAATAAAACACAGCACTCAAGCGTGAAACATATTTCAAAAGAATTGTTACAGTATCCACCCGATATTTTAATTAGTATACGTTATTTATTCAACATTTTGGCATCAACGTCACTCTAAAAGTTCAATAAATTCAAAATTTATTAATTGAACCTACAAAACCGAAAGTAATCATAATAAAGACTCAAACATATAGAAAAAGGCTTGAAGCAGAATTAGTTTAACGAGAAGCAAAGTTAGTGTGTGTAAATTGTTAGCTTCTTTCAAATATTTTCCGGACATAAGTTTAAACTGAAATCTACAAAAGTTCCGGATAGGGCTATCGTTAACGGCATTATTTGCATCGAAGGAATAATTTGGTTGACTCTCAGGAGGACATGTACTACATTGTAAACATTACAAATCCTATCGATTTACGATGAAAATATCCTCTTCATTAACGAGAACCAGGAGATTTAGCTTATTAGTTGCTTCAGAAAGGACCTGGTTCGTTTTCTTTATATTTCTGATAAAAAAAAAAGACGTTGGTAAAGTCACTAATCTGACATCATTTCGGAGGATTAGGAAAGATTAGATCCAATTTTAAGAATTATTTTTTCCTCTCCAAGGCTGAATTATAGCTTTGTTGGAAGAGGAACATGGGTACTGGTCGTATATCAAATGTTTTTCCAAAGACCAAATGTAAAAACACATACTCTTCCAATGTATGCTCTGAATGTTTGACTAATTATCGTTTCCAATTGATTTTTTTGTTTTGATCGTTATAAGACGAAGTAAGAATAGGTTTTTATCCTAGAATATAGTCTATTTTATCTCATAGCGAAAGCTATACTGAAATTTAGGCACTACTAATATACTGACTGATATATGTAAAAATATTACAAATAATTAATTATCTACAACCTATACCTGTTCCAAAATCACTTCTCCATACTAAATCTCACACAACAAATACTTTTCCCTGGCAGATAGAGTCAGTTTAATAGTTGAAAGCCCCCCAGTGGCACAGCGGTATGTCTGCAGACTTACAACGATAGAATCCGGGTTTCGATACCCGTGGTGGGCATTGTGTAGCTTTGTGCTTAATTACAAAACAAATAAACAAACAATAGTTGTAAAAAGAGGTCTCTAAGAACAACTGCTTTTCTCTGGCAGATAGAGTCGGGTTAATAGATGAAAAAACATGTCGCTAAGATAAACTTGTAATGGTTGGAGACGGCTTGAATGGGTCATAACAGCAAATATACAACGTTTCGACAAGGTTTTGTCATCATCAGGTACCGTTGTACATTTGCTGTTATGTTAAACTTATATTAAAGTTTTTCTTCATTTTAAACTTATATTAGAGTTTTTCTTCATTACCCATTCAAGCCGTCTCCAACCATTATTAGTCTCAAAGCGGGTTCCTCGTCATCGAATTAAGATAAACTTGATTTGTCCTAATAACATCTATAAAGGAAAATCACACCTTGTAGTAGTCGCAGGTATATATGTCACGTGACATTCCAAAGTCGGAGATTTTGACAATCAGGTTTTCTCCTACCAAACAGTTTCTTGTGGCCAAATCCCTGTGCACGAAGTGTTGAGAAGACAGGTATACCATTCCATTCGATATCTGAGTGGCTATCCAGACGAGATCAGGCTAAAACGGGAGAAACCATATTGGTACTTTTGATTACTAGTTTACGCTAATGGAAATGTGGACAAATTTCATTAAACTACATCATTTAGAAGAAACTTATGGAAGTTGTTTCCAAATTTTATTTTAAAGCCGTCTTAATATTTAAGTATAACAGAACAAATATTTCATAATTTTTTCCTGTCCACGCCCTCATATTTTAATTTTGTAAATATGTTAACAACAGAGTCTTAATAGTTACTTTCTCTAAAAGCATCTATAAACCATAAAAGAGGCACATTCTTAATGAACCTAGCATTGTTTATAAGAGATAAAAATTGGTCTGACTTTTCTTTGCAACCGCGGCCCCAAAAAATAACAGCAAAAAGTACAATCCCATTTTACTCACCTAATTTGTACAGCACAGGAAAATAAAACAATTTATCTCATCTTATCTGTTTCAGCTAATGTGATCTAGTATTTAGGATTTATAGATTTTAGTTTGTAGCTTCACAGACAACAGGACTTTAAAAACATGAATTAACCAGTCTCAGCTTATACCTACCTGTTTTATTTGTATGGTACACAAACCACAGGACTTTAAAACGTGAACTAGCCAGTCTCAGCTTACCTGATTTAGCTGATAAGCTACATATTCTGGGGGTATTCTCAAGCATGGACTGTTACTCCTAAGCAGCTCAGCCAGGTCTCCATACTGCATGTACTCAAAAACCATCCAGGGTGTGCTGCCAGTGTCTGAAGGAAGACATGTTTGTGACTTACCAAAATAGTTTATCATTAAACGTTTTGTGTTAAGTATTAAAGTACTTTACTGTAATAAAAGTTTCACTAACTGCTATGAATGTGCATTTCGTGTAACATTTTATTATATTTTGTAAAGAACACAGACTATAGTTGACCATTAATATGACTATTATTCCCAACAACCTGCTTAAACTCCAGGTTCAAAGATGTTGTCGATGATGTTTTACGATCCAAGTGATATCTACTGTAAGCTCTCACCGAGAATTCTATTATACAGGTGTCTTAGAAGTCTATTGAATCTTGGCGATTAGACGGGTTTTCTTTTGTGTGGATTGTATATATGAATTGTTATATGTACGTTTCATATTCGTCTTTTAAATACGTTAGAGTAACTTTTTTTACACCTGGAAAATTCAATCGCGTAAAGAAACATGGATATGGTTATATTTTATTTTAGTTTCATAATAAAGTTTGTGTTTAGGAATAAATTTGAAAATTAAAAGATTACACAAATACAAAATATCTTCACGATACTTACAAAAATTGAGCCATAATTTTGATAAAGCACAACCATTATATGAAACCATATGTAACATATGTTTAAAGGGATTCGCCAGTCTATAGTTGTGTATGAAATAGCATTATTTGAGAGTGAAAACTTTTTTTTTTACAATTCTTGAATCGAAAATCATTAACTTTGTTAATGTGTAACAAAGTTTCAAGCATTAACTTAATATAATAAAAATGTCGAATTAGTATATTATTACACTGGAGTGTACAATAATCTTGTACTAATACGATATATATACCACTCACTCTTCAATAAACATATTTATGTGCTTATATGTACACTTTATATTTCTTGTTGTTTTATGTTAGTTATTTCAATACACACTACAGAGCCATAAAGCGAGATGAATATCATATCTATGAACGTTCGTTATCGAAGTGTTGCTTGTATTACATCCTCACATCAAGTTTGTAATATTGTAGACGCATATCCATAAGAATCAAAGTACTAATGTAAAACTAGTCTGTGAAAAAGTAACCTGAGAAAACAGTAATAACAACGACACCTATAGATTTTCTTTTAAAAATAATAAATACAAAGTTTCTCATGTGGAATGATAAGTAAGACTACGTAAGACTGACTGATAAAGCTGGCGGTAAGATACAGTTGTGCTATTCATACACGTTAGTTCATGACATATATCGAACATGTAGGTAGGCTAGCCCCATGACTTTTTAACCCTTAGAAATGAAATTTTTAAAAGCGCTGAAGTAACCATCTTAGAATACATCATCACCCCCCCAAAAAAAAACAGGCTGATGAAGTTAAGTTTAACAATATGTTTTTAAGCTATGAAATGTTTGTTTTTTTGCATGTATAATTAAGAAAATAACATACGTAAATATACGTATAAATATAATGCATGTGTGTAGTTGTGTACACTGTCTGTTTGCAGTTAAGCACAAAGCTACACAGAGAGCCATCTGTGCTCTGCTCAGCACGAGTATCGAAACCTGGTTTCTAGCGTTGTATTTCCACAGACATACCGCTGTACCACAGGAGGACAGTTGTGTACACACATATATATAACTACCATATTAAGTGTGTCTACTAGATGTAGGTAAATCGTGTTTCATTATTAAAAGGAGCTGCATTTACCAAGCGTAAGTATTTGATTTCACAAAGCTAAAATAATAGCAAGGGTCTATCTGGCATTTTTTATTTATTTTTTGCTGGCGCTGTATAAATGTGTTAGTAAAGTTTAAAGAATTGCTAATCAGACATAAAAAATGACTGCTTAAGGTTTTACGACACTCCAAGCATTTCAAAATTTTTATTGCTCTGTCGCAGTTGTTGTTTTTTCTCCTTAAAATAACAGTCATGCATCAGACTCGAGTCTTAATGGAAAAAACAACAAACTTTGAATGATATGTCCTTCATAGCCTTTGCTGACACGCAGTGTATCAGTGTATTGTGGATCTTATTACCTTACTATTTGAGACCTCGTCTTTGATAAGGTCAGCATTCACTGGCCCAAAGAAACAGTTTTCTCGAGTAGGACGTTGTAGGGGCACAGTCAACTCTACAGAGTGAAAAGGGGAGTCTTTTTTTCAAAAACCAAATGTGAAACTTTTCTCCTACACAAATAATTTAAATGCTTTACATGAAAGTCAAGTGTTTATTAAAAACCATTAGAAAATTGTGGCTGTGTTGGACTTTTTATAACATTGACTTGGTTGTTTACCCCTTCCACACTCCCTGTTTACACCTCTGTTTTGAACACTAGGGCTTATTATCAATGAAAATCTATAACGGTAAGAAAATACTATATAAAGAAGCAGTTCTTTTGTGACGTCAGGTCTACCTTTCATGACGACGCCCACCAGTGTAATGATGTTCTCATGGTTGAAGGTTGACATAATTTCAACTTCACGTTCAAAATCATTCTGAGCTTCTGAGGTAGCGCCATCTTTGAGGATCTTGATAGCTACTGGTACAACGTCTCCAGTTGGTTGAGTGTAAAATCCTATGATCAACAAACATATTTATATAAGTCTGGCATGGAATGTTTCGAAATAAAGTAAAAGTTTTTGATGCAGATGCATTTCAATTAATTTAAACAGATAAGTTTATCCACTTGAAGTTTCACTTATCTAACCAAAGCTCAGCCATAATCCAGAAAATTTAAATATGAATATCAAATAACCAAAGATAAAGAGAGAGAGAAGGAATTACCACAGTCAACATAAATAATTTTTAGCTATTCATATTCAGAAACGAGTATATCTTAGTCAACATCTTATACATTTCTAGATGTTGAATTATCATTATCAAATCAACGATCCAACTAGTAATAATATTAAAGCTTAATCTTTTATTCACAATTGTCATTGTTGAAATAAAATATAATGAAATTAATTGGAATTTATAATTAAACTGGAACAAAACAAGAAGAAAAATAATGTATTTATTCATTAGGATTTCAAGCGTTTCTGAAATGAGTATTGCATGCACTAACATGATACATTTTATATTCTTTTATTAGATAGTGAGCCAAAGGTGGAAAAACAACAATTTCAAAACGACAACAGAGCCAAAGAAATTCTGTTAAATGTTGCATCCTCTAGAAAATATTTTTATTTTTTTTTCAAACCACTTATCTTGAAATACAAACTTATACAGTTTTGAAAACACAAGTTTAATCATATACCTTTGTGAACTTTGCCAAAGCATCCTTCACCAATTTCCTCTAGAAATGACAGATTCTCTCGGGGTATTTCAATATCTCGCATCATTTTCAGCAGTGGGGCATCTGGAGAGCTGGAATAGTAGTTAGGGTTAGTCACATACTGCTGCATGATTTTGCTTAGAGAGCCGGCAGATGGTGCCTGTGAGGGTTTTCTTCCCAAACAGATTAGTGGCCATCGTGCAGCATGACGTTTCCTCCAGATACATACAACTAGACTTGAAATTACCATTACGGCGAGGACAACTAGACAACCGAAGAGGACGGTTGGATGAGAAGTAATAATAGGGGAAGGATGAAGATGGCTAGATGAACTATTGGTAGTGAACGTGGTCTGTAAAAATAGTAATAAAATATACTTTACACTCACTTTAGGTTAACTTTTCTTCTTTATAAACACTTATAGAATTAAGAAATAAAAAAACACATGTGTTGAATATAGAGTGACTCCAGCCAGAATCTAAACAAGTTACAAGTCACTTGCTTTTTAACTTAATATTTTCCTTCATTATGTATACGTTTTTTTACGCTAACTCTAGAAACTTAGATATTATATTTCAATTTTCAAAGAATATAGCATACCCTCCAATGTTTCCACCATATTTATATTGACTAAGATTTACCCATTCCTTTAGTTTTAGTGAAAACTTTAAGAATTCATTTTGATACCTATTTGAATGTGACTATTTAGGTTGGAGAATGCTGTTCTGAGCGTAAAAACTGATATAACTAAAAAGCATATTTTCGTGTCGAATCGTTACGTATTAAAAATGAGATTTCTTGAATGTATTTTTGAGAGTAATTCCTTATTAATTTGTACTTCTATAATATTCATTACTATCATTTGTTAAATTTATATTTTCAGCTAAATTTTATTCTTTTAAATTTAATAATCTTCATTTGTCATTCGTGTTTAATTTGTGTTCAAATTTCTTAATATGACAATTATTCTTAACAACCTGTTTCAATTCCAGGTTCAAAGATGTTGTCGGTGATGTTATTATTCAGCTTCGCTGTCCACTAAAATTGATGCGAAAGCTAGCATCTATACGTTTTGTTTCATTAACGTTATCTAAACGTCTCTTTCATACAAGGACGCGAGTTCGCCCTGTGGCCGAGTTCTCGATTTCGGAGATGGCGAGTCGGGTTCGAATCCGTAAGATATTACAAAATATTTCGCAAATTGCGAGTCTGTAAAGCGTGACAGTCAGGCCCTTAGCACGAATAGTGTGCAATAGGGTGCGGATGAGTGGCAGCCTTCCATCCAGTCAATAGGATAAAATTAGGGACGGCGACGTGTAGCCTTAATAGCTTTGCTTAAAAAATACAAATATAATAATCCTCTTATTTTTTGTTTGTTTGTTTTATTGAATTTCGCGTAAGGCTACTCAAGGGTTACCTGCGCTTCCCGTTCCTAATCTAGAGGTGATATACTAGAGGGAAGACAGTTGTTTTACATCACCCACCGCCATCTCTTGGGATACTCTTTATCAACGAAAAGTAGGAATAACCGTCGCATTATAATATTTCATGGATGAAAGTGAGAGAATGTTCGGTAACGGGATTCGATCCCGCGACCCGTAGCTTTCTTACCACCAAGCCATGCCAGCCGTGAAAATGATCTTATACAGGAGCTTGAACGATGGCGAAACAGGCTTATTTTTGACATATTCAAATCAAAAGCTTCTAAACAAGGCTACGTTATTAAGTGTACTAATGGAGACTCTTAAGAATTGAGTATAATTATTTAAATTACAATGAAATATTAAAAGTTAATTATGTGAACTCAGCAGTTTAATGGTTTAAGTACTGATCTACTGTTGCGTGCAATGGGGTGTCCAAATAATTTTAGGCTGTTTGATATTGGTCTTTAATGGGTTAAATGTGAACATGTTTGGGTTTAATGGGTGGAAAGTGGGGTGTTAACAACGAATATCAATTACATGATAAAAATAAATACAGTATTTGGTATCATGTTTGAGATAATAGCTCCAGTATCATTGCATTTAGCAGTACAGCATGCTAAAAAACTCACTTAACGATATAGACAGAAATTTATGTATAGGAATACAACAAAGAAACCCTCTTAATTAATGATTGCATGAGCGAAGTTTGAAGAACTTCTCAATCAGGTTAGGGTTCCCATATTTCCTGTTTATTTATTTGTTTGTTGTTAAGCACAAAGCTACACAATAGGCTGTCTGTGTTGTGCCAAGCACGGGTATCAAAACCCGGGCTTTAGCTTTAGAAGCCTTCAGCCTTATCGCTGAACCACTGGGATGGGGCATATTTTCTGTTACCTCATGTGAAATCGCAGGGATATCTGATATAGCTTTATACTTCAAGTAAGCCAAGTTCATTACGTGTTCATTTTCTTAATAGAGCTTTTAATACAAATTAATATTTAGTGTTAATACTCTATTTTTTTACTGTATTTCAACTGACACAATGTTTCGAGTAAATAGAAAGTGTATAAAGCCCCACCCAGGTGGCTCATCGGTAAGTCTGACGGCTTATAACGCTAAGAATCTGATTTCGATACCCGTGCTTGGCATAGCATAGATAGCCCATTAAGCAGCTTTGTGTTTAAAGACAAACAAACACTTCATACACTATTAAGTGTTAAATACATATTAATGAATCATATAATGTTCATGGACGCCACTTGAGGGAAGGGCAATTGCTCTCCCCCAAAGAAGATTAGAAAGAACGTGAAAATAATGTGCCAGTTTTACTCTTTTACTATGTGTGCTATAAAGCTACAGTATAATCCAATGACAGGCCACATATTACTGCATTTTTACTTTAGAAAAAAATCAAAGAGTTTTCAAGGGCTGTTAGGCTTCTGGACCTGCGTAAAAATATCTTTCCCCCTCGAAATTAAATATCAGTGGCGTTGCTGGTTATGCTATTAATGACACTACTGGCTATTTCAAACTAAACATGAATTGACAATGTTCCAGAGATTCCTTGTTTGTTTTGTAAACAACGATCTTTAGACGTAAAGGAAAAGCACGCCTATTCTCTGCTGATTTGTTTAGTATTGTACGAATACGGACAATCTGATTATCAATTGTAGAAGCTGAATTGGAATATTAAACGCTAACGACACCTTCATGTATACGTGGGCTAAACAGAAAGGCTAGCCGTTCCTAATCTCGTAATACTTACGCGTAGGTAAGCAACTAGCAGCGTCCGCTGCCACAAAGCCTTTGTCAAGGTCTTTGAAATCGAATGACGGTGTTGGCTATCACGTTTATAACGCGCTAAAAGCGCATGACGTGTTCAGCCTGACATGCAACCCTCGAACCAATTATTGGAAAGAAAGAGGTTTGAAGATATTTACAAGATTGATGGTTGTGATATTTTAATTTTTTAACGTTTTAATCAGGTTGCTTGTGTTGAAAAAGTAAGCTTTCGTGGGAATACCCTATTAATTTTTGGAAGCCAATACAAGCAACTTTCCAAAAATGTATATTTCCATTTTTACCTCCGAGGATTAAGCAAAATATGGCAGGGTTAAGATTAGACGTTGAAATCGTCAAAAAATCCCAATATTTCCAACATTGAAATGTAATTTATCGATTCATCAATCATCTTTTTATGTTATGTGAATGATATGATGTGACAAAAGTAAAAATCAAAAGTTTGTTTAATTATGAACATATATTATGATAGATAAAACTCCAAAATTCGCATGTTTTAACCAAAACAGCAGCAAAAAGATACACATTTTACTCTACTATGAAATGAGATTTATTTCATCTCGCGTATATTTTCATGCTGTAAAACATACAAAAATCTACATGGAATTTGGCAATGATTAGGCAATAAATTGTATGTACACATTGAATCTCTTTATACAAATGCAATCTTTTGCCATATTTCAATAAAAGTATGTCAACTTTACACTTGTTTAATACTATATGTTAGGCCTTATAAGATACGCATGATTCTTTGATATAGGTTCTATCTTTCTAGGTATCAGTAATTTCATTGTTAAAGTCACCAGTTTCAACCTCGATGGGGTCCTCGTTTTCACATTCTATACAGAGACACAGATCAGTACTGGTCATACTATTAGAGTTGGAATTACATAGAGTTGAAGGGCAATTGCTCTTTTTACATGCACACCTTACCAACTTCAATATTGACTTAGAGGCTGGTTGTAGTTTTGTTGGACAGGTATCAAGGCACCGCTCACTCCATCCCATCAATTTCCCCTCGGATCCAAATGTTGTTCCATAGCAAGGTGAGTCTAGCTCCATATAGAAGCCTGAATGTGTGCACTAAGAATATGTTAATGTAAAGCAGCTTTAGTAGTGGGCAAGCGCTCACTCTTTGCTTGAGAATTTCAGAACAGATGCCATCTGAGCTGTTTAATATCAGTGATTCACACACCCGTTGGACAATATGCTCTGCTCACAAGTTTAACAAGTACATCTTCTGTCTCAGGATCAATGTCACATATATATCCCAAAGCGCTTTAAAGGCCGCTATGATTCTCTTCTCTGTGCTTCTCCCGATACCTATGTCTTCATCCTTGTCATTGCAAATTATCACAGACTGGTTTCAAATATAACAATGTGTATGAAATCTGAAAAGGTTGATGTACAGTAAATTTACAATGCCCTTGGTCCGGATAGAGCATTAGCCTTACCAGGATTTCACGTATTTACCGGAAGTTAGCACAGAGAGGTTTGCTGGCAAAAGTAAACAGACATGGTTCAGGCTCTTTTAGAATACATGGAGATCTGAAGCTAAATGGGATTTAGTGAGAGCAAATGAGGCAAACATATCATAAGAGTGTCAGATTCTTCGTGGTTATTAGCACAAATTGATCCATCTTCTTTATTACAGAGGGTATTTCTACCTGCAGAGGCATATAGCACTTTGCCTGTATGTCTGTAGGTTTTAATAGATTTCTCTGCAAGATACACAGTCAGATCCTGCTTGGTTTTGCTTGAGGACAATAATTTGTGAATTGGAACGTTTGTTATATTTCTTTTGTCATCCACTTTGTAAGTGACCGCTTTTGTACCATTCTTCCTTCTCTGCCTAGTATCGTTCTTTACTGAATGGGCTTTGTAGGTGTCAAAGATTAAGTGTACCTCATCATATGCATTTGTTGTAGTTTGAAGGGTCATCATGAAATCAGTATTGTCTATGGCAAAGAAAACAAACTTGTTTTTCTTTAGAAATTGAGGTATGTAGACACCATTTAAAGTTGTC